GAAACTCAAGAAATGACAGTCAGAAGATATACGTATAATGTATCGTTGGAAAGCGGAGAATTTTAGAAAAAATAATATTAAATAAATAAAGTTGTAGTAGGTAACGGAGACTGACGATAAAAATATAAATAATAATTTCGAATCATGCCAATGCCATTGTTTAAAATACTATTAATTGTATTTGTGTGAAAGAACAAGTGAAATATAAAAATATTCCATGGATATATTTACAACCTTAAATGCATTTGATGAATCATTGAAGGAAGCTAGTCGACTGGTCTACATATCATGGGTGATAAACATTCAGGACGCAGTCTTTTTAAAAAAAAAAAAAAAATTATTTGTACCAACTTTTCAACCCAAACATGTGGGTCATCTACAGGGCTGACGTTGGCACAAATAAAAAATTTAAATTATTTTTTAAAGGCTGCTTCCTGAATATTCATCACTCATTAAATGCATTTGTTGTAGTTGAATAACTCTAGATATGATGCTATATATATTTAAATAATTAAGTATCTATTAGTTTATTCCAATAAATCATCAAGTGACGTTTTAGAAAATTAAATTAGTGAATCATTTAATGAATTTTTCTCTTTGTGAAAAACTAATATTATTCACTTACAATAAGTGTGACAATTTTTGACCTATCCATGGCCGGCAATGAAAATCTCGTAATTTCATTTTAGCAAACTTTACAATAGAAAATAACACTTTAATAACTAATAGTCCAAACCCATAATCATTTATAGGTTAAATATTCAAATGTACTTTCAATTCTCTCTAGGCTATACATGAGTCTTTCGGATGACAGAATGACTAACTCCAATTTCAACATTCTTTATTGTAAATTTTAGTGATGTTTCTAGTGGCAAAATTTATACCTTTATTCACAGTTCTATATTGCAACACTGCAATCACATATTCTGGAATCAACATACTTATTGTCTGTATAGATATTAAATTTTAAAACTAGAAATATCACTAAAATGAACTTACTCAAAAATCTTGAAATTGAAGTTAGTCATTCTAACAGCTGAAAGGCTCAGATATTGAAGTTATATTATAGTTTATAAAACTAGATTTTTAATGCCTATCGTCAATATAATAAATAGACATTTGTAATTTTATTGGTCTTAATGATTTGCTATCTGTAAGCATTATGCTTTGTCCCAGTATAAAATGCACTTCAAAAATTTTATAATAGCCCAAAATTGCCAGAAAATAATTTCTATTCGAAGTAGAGGGGTAAGTGAAAGTTGTGTGTTGCGGGCACCAGATTTTTTCTCTATGATCCGTGTATCCTGTCCGTGAAGCGGAGTTTAATAAAACGAATAGGTTCAAAAGAAACCGGATATAAAGCAATTGGAAGCTTGTCCCTGCTGTCACAGCAACGTGGAAATCATGGCTGACAGCAAAGTGGGGCTAGATGAGCCTTTTCTGGCTCTCGTCGCACTACAAGAAACATGGGCCTATTTAAAACCAATCTGTACAGTATTATTTGCACAATATATACCTACAATATAACAATATTTATCTGTACAATATAAAGAACCATAAGTATACGGTTCTTCTAAAAAAAAATTACAAAACTACGATTTTTCCAACTCATAACAGAGCTCATTAGAGGGAGCCTCCACTTATCGACATACGAATTTGGATTTCATAATAGGGAGAGGATATCGAAGGCCTATTATCTATATTATCATCGATATAATGATCGGCCTACAACTATCGATACCATCAAAATATTAGTCCATATTTTCATCGGATTTATAAACATTTTTGAAATATGAATATTAATATAAATATTGATTCTCTGGCACAAAGGTCCATCAAAAAATATGTTATTTTCTTCTTTAAATTGATTAATGGAAATATCAATTCTTCTACTCTCCTCAAATTGATTTTCTGGTTCCAGTCCATGTTTTGTCATCCTCAGTTTTTTCCAGTAAGTTCCATTCAACCAATTATGCCTTCCATTCACCCATAGACCGGATTCAGCTACATTCAAATTTATTTAAAACTTACATAGACTTTTTTGACAATTCGTGGCCTTGGTTTAAGAAGGTTCTAATTAACCAAAAAATTTGGGCAAATTGAGTTTATTAAGTGAGAACGTTCCAACACGCGCTATTCAACTCAACTTACGGATGGCCAACAATAGTCGATAATATCGACACATCGATATTTTCTTCTGCTACGTACTATAGGCATATATGAAATAGGCAAGATGAGTATAATTTTTTTTTCTACGATCAGATTCATGTATAATTCTTAGTGCTTATCGAAAATGAAAATTTTAATTTTAATTTTTAAATTTTGAAGAATAGTCAAAACTGAGGAATTAAAATAAATCCCATCAAATTATCTTTATCCTTTGTCGTAAACCAATGACTTCCTGTCCTAAAGTATCCTTTTACAATACCTCACTTATCCCTGTTGAACAAATCCATTACCAAGGACTCCACCTGGACAAACGTCTCGCTTGAAACCGCTCGAAGTATCCGACTATTTCAACACTTACTAGACAACCGTTCTAACCTTCTAATTTATTACAAAAGACTGATATATACGACTATAGTAAGGCCTATTTGAACTTAAGAGATTGAGCTATGGGGCTCTACCAAATCATGAAATTTCTCTCGTATCCAATCCTTACAATCCAAAATTCTTCGCAAAATCCTCAATCTTCCTTACATTCTTACAAATAAAATCATCCATTAATGTTCGTTATGTTTCAGATTTAGCCCAATCCAGATACCATTGCTTCCATAATAAACTTCATAACCATCCCAACCCCTAGTTTCTAGATTTGCCCTCTCTTCAATTCCTAATAAGCCTCTGAGGCGTCTGAAAAGAAGATGGCCCCGTGATCTCCTAATGTAGACATACTATTAAAGTGCCGCCAAAGGGTAGTTTTCCAACAAGTGTTTCATGTCATTCTATCCATTGTACAAATTTACTATTTTTTTTTTTTTTCAGTTGTAAATATCATAACAAAAACAATTACTTAAATGATTAAAATATCGAAAGGGCGATATCGATAGTCGAAGTAGATGCTATCGATAGTACAATATCGAATATTTTAATACATTATATATTAACAAGTAGGCTTTAGCACGCGTTTAGCTTTCTCTTTCACGGCTTTAAACGAATCAAATATTGCTTTTTTTAATGGAGATTGACGAAACGTGGTTTTTCACTTATGATCCTCCGATGAAGTTAAAAAGCCCGAATGAGCAAAACTAATGATGATTTTTGTTTTTTCAATATTCGTGCGATTGTGCACCATCACTGGATTCCTGAAGGTCGAACCATTAATCAACTTTATTACATTCATGTTCTTGTTAAAAGAGAAAGTGAACGCATAGGACAGAAGAAGAAGACTTTCAGCATAGTTTCATCTATTGGAAGATTCGAAAAGAGCGTTTATTGGGATAAAAGTGGGTGTATATAGAAGGTGATAATGAGTAATCAGTCTCCTTATATATGAGATCAAATCACGTACACCAAACAATAATCGAGCAAACAATAATTAGTATTTATAACGGATAACATCATAAGCTACCAACGTGATATGATCATAGCTAATCGTGTAAATACACGAGTACTTTTAGATAACTGGATGTTTTAACACAACTTAAACTGAATCTCATCTTATTTTGTATTAAACCTTGAACTTAATTTTTAAAAATGAAAAGAACTTGGTATAGGTGTAGCCCTGATAAAGACCTGAACTTTGGGCCGAAATGTCGGAAAAAATATAAATAAATATAATTTATTTATTTTTATTGAACAACTCAACCAAATTATTTTCAATTATTCACTACAGTCAACTATCAATCCACTATTATGAAATAAATTAATTAATACGGATTTAAAGTTTATCAAACTAGGAAATGTTTCTAAAAGTGAGCTATGTTTAGTAAAGTCGGAGGCTGATAAAAAAAAACTCAAGAATAATCCATGATATTTGAAAAAACATAACTTAACTTAGTTTATCCGCTCAAATATCTTATTTAAATAGTTTCAAAAACGACAAACTATACTTTGATTTTAATTAAACTTTGTCTAGTTGTTCATAACTTATATTTTTTTAGTTATCGCTTGCTATTCATCAAAAAGTGTGACTTACTAAAAAAACATAAATTTCTTACTTTTATGCGGAAAACCATACATACCATTGTTTATATGAACTTTTTTTGTAGCTATTGAGGTCTACTACCAGTCCTTCAAATATTTCCCTCTAATTACGGGACACCCTGTACATACGCAATAACAACGCATTATTTTTACGCGTTCCTAACTGAGAGAAATTCATATCTCATTAACCGCGTACTTTCAAGTAAAAACTTTTTTTTTTAATGTTTAGATTACCAATATTCCGCCTCGCTACCCATTCTCACGGGATACTCACACAAATATTATATTCAACATTCAATTATTATAGAATTATTTTATAGGAAAAAAGAGACATATCTTCAAAACAGTGTGGTTGACTGTTTTTAAATTTGCAAATAAAATAGGAGTGAGAAACGATAAACAGTTCTAAAACATAAAAAAAAAAGAACGTTATGTATAAACATGAAGAGAACTTTGGACTAATGGGACATGTTCAAAGACCCTAGAAGCTAATGAGGGCTTTAAAGAGATGCCTGCCATTAATCTAGATGTTTTAATATCAACATAGGCTGCTCGGGGTGGACTAACATTTCAACTAAAAATGTTTTAAAATTGACCTAGAAAATGATAATTCAAAGCCTGATTTAAAGAACATGGAAGAAAAGTCTTTATTTTTAAAAACTTATAGAAGTACCAATATTTTTTTAAATTTCAAGTCATATTGCAACCCGAACCGCCACTGCATATATTATATATAGTATCAATATATATTTACGCAATGAAATATTATTAACACTGTTTTTTTGTCTGGATAACATATACGTACCAAGTAAGACTAAACTCTAAACTACAAAACCACATATCTTTCTTAAGTAATGTTGTGTCACCTCTCTACACCGCTTGATAAAATCCTTACTTTAGACAGTAAGGTTAGCTACAGGTACCATTACTCAACAGATTGGGCACAGAGTTCAGTAGAAACACAAAAGGACTACCCCTGCTCTATTTTACTGATGGGTCGAAGAAATACTCAACTAGTTTAACGGATGCAGGAGGCTATATTGATAACTTAGGTATAGAATTAAACATACCATTAAGTAAACATGCTACAGTATTTTAAGCAGAGGTGTTTGCTTTACTTTCTGCAGCCATCTGCTTAGAAGTTACTAATTGCGAGAATGTTGGCATCACTACCTATTCGGATAGTCATTCGCCACTACAAGCATTGGAGTCTCACAAAGTGACCTCCAGACTGGTGCAGGAGTGTAAACAGGCTTTGAAGACACTGGCCTTCTCCAAGAGGGTGGAACTAGTGTGGGTTCCTAGTCACAAAGGAATTAAAGGCAATGAAAAAGCCATTGCAAGGGAAGGAGTGGAATTTTTTATTGTAGGTCCAGAACCTGCAAAAGGAATATACAAAAAGCATCAGCGGAAAGAAGTCCTTGATTGGACATGGAAAAAAGCAGGTAAAGAATGGAGGGAATACACTAGGCTTAGACAAGTCCAAACAATTCGTCAAAATCTCCTCTCCCTCCAAAACTAAGTGGCTGGTGGGCCTGAATAGGAAAGAAATCCGACTCCTCATCGGAGTACTAACAGGCCACTGCAGACTTAAAAGACATTTAAAGATCTGTGGGATTGTGGATGATGAACTCTGTAATCTTTACAGAAGTGTACCTAAAACTGCCCTTCACTTCATAACGGAATGTGACCGATTTGCGTCACTCAGGTACAGACTTCTGGGCGCAGACAGAATCCAAGTATGCAAAGCTACCTCCATAAAATGGCCCAATTTTTTGAACTTCATTAGAAGAACAAAAAGGTTTGAGACAGAGTTGGAGGTACAATAGACAATCATTGGTATTATTGACTCTGGAGTTGGCAAAAAGGAACAATAGGCCTTGGACTAAGTCACCCCACCAATACCAGTACCAATAATTAATTTTGTATTACATGAAATTACACATATTTAAAGAGAAAAAAAAGTGTGTTTGCCGATTATTGAATATTCAAGGAATATCAATATCGTAGGTCCAATAAGTGAAGTTCTTCGTAGTCATTAATTCCGGATTTCCAGAATACTTCAATTAAAACTTATTTAAGAAGTTGTATTACCATAGTAAGAGTTTATAAATGTAGAGGAAACAGAGAATCAAAACATTTCAACAAGATTTATTTTAAATTTTATAACAGTGCTAATCATTAGTTCTTTTAAAATTAGTCGTTTATATAAATGTAGTCATCTATTCCTAAGTTCCTTTAGTCTTCTCAACTTTATGATAAAAATAAAAGTTTCCCCCGGGTTTTCCCTACCAGGAAACTTCAAGAACTTCAAGTTCGTTGAAAGTGACTCCTCCACTTGGATTCATCTTCATTTAAGGTCAGATGATGTATGAGCTAAAAGTACCAGAAGAAAAAATCTATTGTAAAAAGGAGATTTACGACTCATATCTATGGTTTAATTTCTTTTAAAAAACTACGCTGCGACGATCATTTGGCCACAAAAATAATGTAAATAGTATATCAAAAAAAATATAATTTTGTACCATTTATCATTACAGTTGTGTTCGGTACTGAACAAGCACATCACTCATTTTTTTTTTTTTTTTTTTGTGTCCTTCCGTTTCATTTTTTTCCCCCTATGACTGTAATAAAATTTTTTCTATTATTTTAAGACAAAATATAAATAATATTTTACAAAAGTCTTACAATACAAACAAGTCCTAAGCGCAGTAATATAACCTAATCTGCTCGAAACGCGACCTATATCTTATAAAGATCATCTTGTAGAGATAAAATGAATGGATATAAAACGCAACCATAAAGATCATCGCTTTATTGTTGATTTACTAATTATTTAACATTCTTACTCTTTTAATCTCTGACCCCATAAATATTTTCCAACAACAGCCAAGTTCAGACGACTACTGGGCAGTAATACAAATAAAGTATTTTAACATATAAAATAAAATGCATTTGTCATTTCAAGAATTAAAATATATAAAAGCTTGCTTGTAATTATATTTTCTTTTAAAAATAAAAAATAGAAAAAAGTATTTGTCTTTTATTTCCAATATATTAAAATACAAAAAATCTATTTCAAATAAATAAAATGAATTCCCAAATAGAGTCGGTCCTCAGTATAATAGCCTGTTCGTTTATCAGAAAATATTGTGTATTTATATTTTGTTTCTTATAATTATAATACACAATAGTTTTAATAATTTGAATTTGAAACTCAACCTGAAATTGAAACCAAACCCTCGTTATACGGATTATATGAAAATCGATTCATTTTTTTTTCCAACTTTTACAAATGTGAATTACAAACATGATGGCAATAATTACAATTCAATTCAATCTTTATTTTTTAGGGAAGAACCATGTACAAATAGAGCCTATCACAAAATAACAAACATTATTATCATTATGGAAATACAAATTCATTCCTTTTTTTACTAAATTACAGACATTACAACATTTTTAAGGTTAAATTAAAAATCATGTTTGGTAAAAATCAGACAGTTATCAAATTAATATAAAATCTACTATTGTCAACAATATGCATGAATAAATACACACAAAACAATAATTACACTTTTTTTTAATACTAATATTAAACTAAGTTTTATGCTGGGTGTAGCAAATTAAAACGGTGTATCCAGGCATGTCGAGCAAAACAATTTTACGACATTCTTTCACAGTGGGGGAATTTAGAAGGGAAATTAGGATATCATTTCGAACCGGGCTAGTTCAAACATAGAACATTCAATAAAAAAATAATAAAAAATAAAAAAATGGAACAGGTCTTCCTTTAGTGGTAGGTTACAGAATGGACGACCCGTATATTCCTTGCCAAGCCTTGGGATGTAATTCAAATAATCATGTATGAGTAATTGTTATAAAGTATTTATTTGTACTGTACCTGTAAAACATATAAAATTTCCGACAGATGAATAATAATGACGTTCTGTGTATTTTATAAATTTATAATTTATGCATATTTAATAAAGCATTTCTCATTCAAGTATATTTTTAAATTAAATTAAAAGATTACCTTAAGAGAACAACCAAAAAAAAGAACCCGGACAGATTACATGCCGATGTGCAATATGGAATTTTTGCCATAATATGCACAGGGCAATATTCCAGATTACCCTACCAATTCCCTATAATTTGATATAATTTAAATAAAAAATATAATTTTCTCATATCTTCTACAATTCCCATACCCTGGTAAATTCTTAACCTTAAACTACTGTTAATTGGACACTTGAATAATATATAATGAAGTGCTTCACTTTCTTTAGTGTTGCACATTTTGCATTCAAGTTGTGGAGTAATCTCCACAATTACTTTATTTCACAACTTTCGAAATTTTCACATATGATGCCCATAAGTAATGGCACTATTATTAGAATTATTCAAAAACTAACTAAATTCTACCTCGTCAAAATACCATGGCATTATGGCTGAAAAGAAAAAGTGTAATGCCAGACATTACTCCGACTAGGATATTTCTTTCAAGAGAAAATTAAACGAAGCATTTAGCCTTGCGTGACAGGCAGACAGATTTATTCCTCCCCTTAGCGATAGGATCGACTGTGACTGCAACCGGGTATCCGTACTTGTTGCTCTGTCAAGATTACACATCTTTTAATCCTTATGGGGGTCCTAAGTAGTTTCGTATTTACATATAGGTCATGGCTGTGTCGCATAGGATCAGAGGCTTCATATTTGTTATGCTTAATTGAGATTACCAACTACTAGGTGTTTTTATTTAATAAATATTTGTATTAACTGATAACAGCAGTTAAAAAATCTTATCACACTAGTTATCACCCTATAATTCTATTAATACCTTTACCGTTTACTATAAGTCGACGTTTCGGACTTCTTCCATTGCCAAGCTGTTACTAAAAAAAAATAAAAACTGGACCACTATAATTCATGAAAGGCCTTGGGTTCTATACTTTGTAAGAAAGTACTGTTTCTTGGTTGTGCAATTCAACAAGTAAACACGGAGGTGATTTGACCGATATCACGCTGAACCGACAGGTTTTAAGTGTTAGAGGCTGGGTGTGCCCCAGGAGGGTCTCCTGACCCCAGGGTCGATCCACGGCCGAAGAATCAGAATAACTTATTTATCTGCCATCAGCCGTACTCTAACCTGGGACCTTGATCATTGGAAGTTACCGCCCTACCACCGAGCTACTCTGCTCTCTATAAACAATGATATTAAAAACAATATTATTCTCATTAAAGAGAAAAGAACATTGAAAATCTGTACATTGATTCAAAATATACTTCTTTAAAATTAATTTTTATTTCCTCTTACACTTATCAAAACTTCTTCAAAATTTGCATGATTTATCATAAAGTATACAGTATATAGCAGCTCATAAATGCTACATCAGAATAATCTTAAGAGTTCTTACGATAGGTCTGATTCTCGGTTTAGTACCGCGTACTCGATTCTCTAAATACTTTTTTTCATGCTTGTTAATATGCATGGTAAATGTACCGGTAATAGACACTTAAACAAAAATTTGCAACAATTATGTGAACCGTAGCTTTAGTTCTGACGGTGAATGGATTTAATAGACAGACAAATTTAGTTTTTTGCCAATTTCGTTTTTTCTATGTAATCAATTGGTTTATTATTCATGAAAACCTTAAGAAATTCTAACAGCGTATTTTTCACCGATAACAGACACCCAGGTTCAGGGGTCAACAGATTTGTTTTATTCAAATAAAAAACAAAACAAAATAAATCCTGCAGTTTTAAACAAGGAAATGGCAAACTGCTAATGAATGAATCGAAATTTCAAACTTGTCCCCTAAAGCAAAGGAAACATCTCTGAAACAAAAACCCAGCCTTGCTCCATTGAAAAATCGACTTAAAAAAATCGACCAATTATATGGCATAACATCACTTGTGGTTCAGTCATCAGCCTCCTATTAGTCCAGTAAAGTTAGGGAAAAAAACAACCTTAGTAAAAATATTGGGGTCGATCCATAATTATACCGTACTAAATAATACATATCTTTATTTTATTAGAGAAAATGTAAACTCCACTTAATTAATACAGACCTTTTTTTTGGGTCCTCCCCTCACCTTCCTCACCATTAAGGCTATACGGGGTTTTCCCGGGCCAGGGGGTGTGGGCGGGGATTTAAAAGACGCCTTGGCACCGGGACGCGAACTCGTGACTATTTTTTTATATCATTTCATATATCAGGTTGGCGGGCAACGGTGATGCTATGCACAACGCGTTAGCCCATTCGGCCACCCCGCCCACCTAATTAATACAGACTTAAAGCGCATCAAACAAGGAAGTTTTTCTAAAATTGTGGTATCTCCAGTCTAGTTAGGAGGTTATAAAAAAAAAAATCGCTAATAATCCTTGATTTTATGAATAACCGAACTTACCGTAGTTTAACTGTTTGAAAGCTCACTTTGTGGTTTTGAAATAGAAAGGATTTAATTTTATTTAATGTAGATTTTCTGCAGAACCATCCGAATTCTCTTGTTTCAAACCT